AGACAATTTTTCTTTCTTCTGTGCACTCAGGGTGTGGGATGATTTTGGGATGATTCAAGAACATTACATTTATTGTGCAGTCAAACCTCTCTGCTAACGATAATCTGTATTTGCAGCTGCTCCCCAGTGCTAGCATCACCGCCTCAGCTCCACCTCAGGACATCAGGCATTAGATTCCCATAAGGAGTGTGAAACCCAGATCCCTTGTATGCACAGTTTACAGGAGGGTTCGTGCTCCTGTGAGAATCTAATGTCGCTGCTGATCTGACAGGAGGCGGAGCTTATTCAGTGATGGGAGTGATGGGGAACGGCTGTTAAGTAGAGATGAAGCTTCACTTGCTCACTTGCTGCTCACCTTCTGCTGCTCGGCTCGGTTCCTGCCAGGGCACAGACTAGTACCAGTTGGGGGCTTGGGGACCACAGCCTACAGCATTCTCAGAACTTTCACACACACCCCTGAACAGCCCAGTGGGGCAAGAGCTCTCACTGGTAAACGAGCCAGACGCCAAGGTAACAGGGCAAGTGAACAGTGGCCATGCAGTTTGAGGGGTTCTATTGACAGGAAGCCCAAAGCTCTTGGTCAATCACAAAGCTTCCACACAGTGGTCTGATTTGAACTCCAGATTGTAAAAGCCATTATATCATATGTTCATGATATCATTATGTGCAGTTCTGGGCTTCATCATTTTATTGCCACACCTGTGGGAGGGGGCATATGGGGACACCCTGTAATGTAGGGGGTTGCTTGGGCAGTGTTGCGTTTTGGCTGCACTCCAGGGATTGCCAAAGTGTGGGTCGCAAACCCACATCAGGATCACTGGAGGGGCCATTCCAGACCCTCTGACTCTGCATCACTGGAGGTGGGAGTTGCATCTGCATGTGCAATGAGGACTCCAGGTGATGCCTGGGACTCTGTCCTTTGTGGAGAAAGGGGATACACTTGCTCTCTGTTCGTGAAGGGACTGGCTTGTGTTAGGGCTCCAATTCTGTGGCTGGGGAGGTGTGGCATGGGAAGGGTATATATATGATCCTATTCCCTCCCCCTTCACCTTTTTTGGCGAACCTTTTCCTGTCTCTATATATCCCAGCTCATCTCAGAAAGATGGTGGGTGAAGTGGAGATAGACAACATTAGAAAAGCAGTTTGGATTTCCTACAGTCCTACAATTCTGTTCTGGGCATCTCAGTATGGGGAGAAAGGTGAGCCCTAGGTCTGGTGTAGCTGCAATTCACTGCTGGTGCACAGATTTCTCTGTGAAGAGTTGGAAGGGAACTCAGCCTCTTAATCTGTATCTCCATCCATCCATCCATCCATCCATCTGTCCATCCCTCCCTCCTTCCCTCTGTTCATCTGTCCATCCATCCATCCATCTATAAATTCATCCATCTGTCCATCCATCTATGCATCCATCCATCCACCCATCCATCTATCCATCCATCCATCCATCCATCCATTGTTCGTAATATGTTCCAGGTGCTTGGGATGAAAGAAAAACAAGACATAGCCTGTGATCTTGAGGGAACTAAGTCCAGTTTAGATAGCAGCAGATATAAGAAGAAATGAAAGCAACAAAAGTTGATTTCATAGACATTTGAAATGGCAACAAATGTGAGATATTAAAAAAAAGGAAACTGTTAAAATTATTTAGCATTTCTTAATGCCTTAGGAGAAAACTTTGAAAATCATCTCAGGTAATGTAGAGAAGCTCTGCACAAAGGGCAAAAGACAAATTTATAATATATAATTCTTTAAACCATGGAGTTCCCTGAATTTTAGCACTTGTTTTTGGACAAGCCTGTGGATTATTCTGCAGTTAGATCCTTACCCGTGAGGGTGGTTGAGGAGTGTAGACACCAGGGCATGAGTGATCATCTCTAACCATTCCTATAACTTATTCTGAGCATTTAACTCTGATCCAGGAATAGCAAGCTACAACTGCCAGGTCAATTTTCAAGGGAAATTCTAAGGAAGAACATGCAAGAGTTGTTTTTCAGCTCTAGCCTCTGGTTCGAAAGTAGTGGATGGCTGTTGATTTCAAAGCAAATGCTCTGTTCCTTCATAGGAAGTCTATTGTTTTAATATTTTCTAACGACTAGCATCTAATAAAATAGTATGCATTTACACTGAGATACCGCCCAAGCACTCAGGGTTGAGTGACAGACTTTGATGAATAGCAATTAACAGTTAAACAGATCAACCTAAATGGTTGTAGTCTGACGTCAGCGCGGTTCAGTAGGGAGGAGCAGAATGTCAGATGAGGACTTGGGAACGTTAGTGTAGTTCCCACAAGCCAACAACTAGGCGGCACTCTCCAACAGGACTTTCTGTGATGATGGAAATGCTCTACGTCTGCAGTGATTGAACACTTGAACTGTGTCTGGTGCAGCTGAGGCACTGATATTAAATCACACATAATTTCAATTAATTTGAATGTGAGTTTACATACCCACATGAAGGCAGCGCTGGATAGCTCTGGCTAAGACATGGCAGCAAAAAATCAAAATGGCTTTTTCTTCTCTCCTTCTCTCCCCACCTCTCTTTTATTTCCTGCTAGCTCTGTCTTACCTTACCATTTTTCTCTCCCAACTCCGTGACTACTGGATGAAATAAGAGGGCAGAGTAGCTGCTAAGCAAGGGGGCTCCTGAGGAGCTGTGGAAAGTGCAGTTACTGTGCGAGGAACGAGTTTGGCGGTGGGGTTTGGGTGGGGCTGCGGTAAAAGCCACGCGCCTAAGTTCCTTTAGAGGTGGCCCTCCCTCAGTTTGTCCTGATTTCCTTTGGGCGCTGGACTCTCAGTGGGTGGGGACATGGAAGCGAGAACCGAATGTC